CCGCCTAAGGCTTGTCCGGTKTAAATGCTTATYCGGTCACTCTTTGTCCGRATAAACACTTAGACATAATAATCATRGTTTCTTTTCAARTRTGAACAATACRAAGCATGCAATTGAAACCAGTAGAATCATTATGCAAAAAGGTTTAGAAACCACTCACCTTATAAAGCTTTTGACACCAAGATGCTAGAAATCGATCCCTTTTTAAACTTGATACTTGAAATCACCTCCTTTTAGAATTTCGGACAACACTTATTTAATCTCTTCAATTTTTCTCAAAATAACAGGGAAGAGAAAATGAAGAGAGACTACCCTTTTTATACCTCCCAAATATGGAAGGTCGGCTCAAACCGCCTTCCATACTCCCTTTTCCACCTTATGCTACCCACATGCATCCATGCATACACACATGCATACATACCCATGTATAATTTGCATGCATAAATACATATATACATTTATATTTTATGCATACATATATATATATATACATACATATATATATATATATATATCCAATTAAATGCACAAATTTGCATACCAACATGTATCAAACATATCAGTTTATCATGCTATCACACAATTATTTAATAAAATAATCACGTATTAATTACCTTGAGTAATAACCAGGATCCGGTTATTACACCTGTTGTCATGCCTAATATATACACCATTGAACATTTGCGACTACATATATGTTAAAGATATAACATCCAAGTTTTTTACTATATTAAAATAACAAGTCATCTATAATTTGGAAAAAAAAAATATTATTTTAGCTATAATCATGGGATTGATGTTTTTGTAACCGCTCATTAATGAATGTGAAGTTAAGACAAAAAAAGATGGTCATTGTGTCCTCAATATTAATTGTATGATGATAGAAGAACCTAATCCAACAAAGGTTTGTGATTGGTCTAAGTGTTTTGTATAGTTAATACATTTTTCGTGGTTAACAAATGATCTTAGCTATATACACACACACACACCAAACTTTACCTAATGTAGATAATCTTGTATACAAAATCCCATTTTATCAACCAAAATCCCAAACAGAAGAACAATATAGTTTTGGGTTTCAAATTCATCAAGAAAAATTAATCATTTTCCAAGTGTTTAAAAACATCTCCCACTCTTGTTCCATCAAAATATGCAAAATCCCCAAAATACCAAATTTTGACTTAAATGCTAAGAATCATCCAAATGTAAAAGTTACTTGAAAAGGAAACTTAGAGGAAGTAAAATGCATCATTTTAACATGTATATTACTTGAATCTTGAACTCTAGGCTTGGATCTTAACTTAGATGTGGTTTTAATGCTTTGGAAATGGTTGGAAGATGGAAATAAATGCTCCAAATCAGAGTAAATGAAGTGAGAGGATATATATTTGAGTTGGGAAAGTGTTTGTGAGAAATTACGGTTGAAATCCAAATTCTATGACCTTATTGTGCCAAATACGCTTCCATGCTAGTTTCACCACTACTTAAACTATCCCTGAAAGTCGCCCGAACATGAAAGAAATCGAACAGTGCCTTGCGCTAGTTTCACTACTACTTAAACTAGCCCGACCCACTATTTCATCATTATCAGATCATTTCCTTGAGTTTTGAAGAGCCAACACTAAAATGCCCAAAAACATTCAACGGAGCTCAACTTAAACACTAAAGAACTACATTTAGAGATGAACTCATATAAATATTGCACGAAAAAAACCAAGTCTCGGGTACCCAAATGTGTCCTCGGAAGAGTTTCAATCCCCGATTGTCTTTCGTCAACAATAGATGTTGCTTCACCATCACCTCACTCTTCAGGTTCCATTCTAACAGAGCTTTAGCTTGCGATGTTTTGATCCTTTTAATAAGGCTCAACACCAAATCTATTCTCAAATGAGTGGCTCGAATGCCACCGCTTATTCTTTTCAGCTCAACATATCCGCTACCACATTGCCTTACCCGGGTGGTGGAACAATTCACAGTTATAACCCTTGAGTAGTTTGAGACATCTCTGATGCCTTATGTGTAATTTTTTCTGATCAAAGACATACTTCAGACTCTTGTGGTCGATATAGATGGTGCACTTAGTACTGTAGACATAGTGTCGCCATAATTTTAAGGAAAACATCACGACCGCCAACTCCAAATCATGAGTAAGATAGTTTTGCTCATGCTCTTTGTGTTGTTTTGATGCATAGACAATCACTTTGCCCCATGCATCAAGACACAACCAAAAACCATTTTGGACGCGTCGCTATACACCACAAAGTGTTCTACATGGTCAAAATCACCAATACAACCAAAAACCCTCTGTTTCTTGAGACCAATACAACAGTGACCCACGCGATCCCAGGCGCGACTTTTTAGGTCGCGAGCCACGTCACTTCATCCCCATTTTCGCTCTAATTCGACCTTTTTCAAGGGTTTTCGTGCTCGGTTTACATAAAAGCTTAGTAAATATATTTAGGGTGTTAAAGTCAAAACTAAATGTTTAAATCCCAAAAAGATTATATTTAAAATCTCGGATGTTACAATATGCATATGGTCTTAAATTCAACATGATGAGTTTAGACCATCTCAAATGCATATGGCACTTCAAATGTTACAACAAACTCCATTTTTTGTTTTAAAATCGGATAATTTTGTTGTGATTAATTATAATAATTTATATGATTTATTAAATTATTGTTAAAAAATATAAATATAGATATAGTTTGTAAAACTAAAAAAAAATATTAGATATATTATTAAAATTTTATAAATTAAAGGACGAAAAAAATATGTTTATAAAGATTTGTTTTAGTGTAAAACTGATGTTATTTTTAGATATTTTTTATAAAATGATTATTGGTTATATCAAATTTTATATCGTATTTATCAAGATAGTAGATAACTTTGTGTTAACTGTTGAGAGCATCTCCACCATAACTTCATCAAACCGGTCCTTTTTTTTTTTACCGTTTTGATTTCATTGATCACATTATAGTTTACATCAAAACATGTTATAAAGAGTAAAATTACATAAAATTTGGTTTAACGCTATTTATTTTCGTTATTTTTTATAAATAATTGTTAAGAGTTACAAAATGGTACTTTAATTTTAAGATTTAGTCATTTTTATTTTATTTTATTGTATAAAATAATACTTTAATTTTATAGTTTTTACTTTTTACTTGCATTATTATATTATAATAAATAGTTAATTACCTAATATTTTCTAGTTTTGACTTAAAAAATCTGGATAGGCTAATAATTTTGTTTGATTAAATTAGTATAATAAAAGTATTGATTAAGTTAATGTAAAATTAAGAGGATATTTTAATTTATAAAGTTAATAAATATAATGATATATTTAAACATAAAATAATATGCTTTGAATTATTTGTCTTAGGTGCTGTTTACCTAAATGTTTATCCAGTAAGCGATTACCGTTAAGAGTCAACACTATAATTTATTTTATCGGGTAAGATTGTAGTACATCAAAACGTATCTTATGCAACAAGTTACTTTGTAAATGTTGATCCGGGTAAGAGTCGTCACCCTCACTTACCGGGTAAGACTCTCCAGTCTTATCATCGCTCTTACCGGGTAAGATTCTTGCCCCTTGCCATGTTCATTCGGTAAAGAAAATTGCCCAGTAAGTACTTACCGGGTAAGCGTTTAGTAAACGGCCTCTTAGTGTAAAAATGGTATAACATAATGAGAATGGATAAGTATTTGTGCGATTTTTGTATCAAAAAATGTAATTAAAAAAATGATGTCATTGATCGAAGATATTCTACAGATTAAGTAACAGATATAGGGCAAGTTGTATAAACTGATTTGAACCTCCTTTTGCTACATCCACACGACTTATATATTTCTAGAGCTCAAACTCATAACTAAAGCTCCTTCTATAAGAGTAGCACTTATTAGAGTGGATTTGGGTGAAATTACTTTAAATGATCAAGAGTGAATTATATTTTTCATTTTTATGGTTTGATATTTTTAATAGATCTCGTCCCTGTTTTGGAAAATTGACATAACATGTCCCTGTGTTTGCATTTTTTTTAACGAGTTGGATCATTGTGGTTGCATTTCTTTAACGAAATGGGTTCTTGTGGGTGTGGTCTTTTAACGAGTCGGGCTCATGTGGTTGCATTAGTGACCCAACTCGTTAAAAAATACAAACATAAATACCAACTCGTTAATTTTTCAAAATAGGGATAGTATCTGTTAAAAACACCAAACGATAGGGATGAAAACTGTAAGGATCAATGTCCATGTGAAGCGCAAATAAATTTATTAATTAACCAAAAAAAATCAATCCGAAAGTTCAAACTTGTATAATTGCTTCTTCTAACAACACATGGACGAAGATGCAGCAAACTCATGAAACGACACGACAAGTCAAAAAGGTGAAGCAAAGCTGCGTATTCAACGTTTGCGACAATCGACCACGAAACTTTGCCTCTTCTAGACATCCTTCCCATTTACCTCAGTTTATGCTAACAATTACCAACCATATATTTAAGTATTCAGTATCTATTCCGATCAAGATCATGTCTCAAAAGGTGTTTTGACACATCAACCCCTCGTGCCTGCAACCTCCCACTCATGTCATCGTTATTTGCTCTTCTTTCGTTCGACAAAACATTTCCAAAGTTCCAAACCATCGGTTTTCGTCCGTGATTTGTCGCTATCAATATTATATTTCGAAGAAAACATCTGTATTCGTACGAAATCTGATATACTGAATTCGTTTGATTTAGTGATGATAATGACATAAAGCTTGTAGCATTGGGATTCCAATTATAACCCTCTGACAAAAGTGCAAAGGAAGTAGAAGCATCTCAACATCCACTACTTTCTTGGAAGAATACACACAAGAACTGGAGAGACAAACATTGATTCTACTTGCTGCCAATGTCTTCTTGTCAAATTACATTTCTCTCCCTCTCCACTTCTTCATTTCTTTTCTAATTTCCTTTTCTTTTTCTTTTTCTTTTTCTTTTTTTTTTCACTCTTTCACTAATAATAAGTTAACAAAATGGTAATTTAAAATGTTAGAGAATCCCCAAAAAGCCCCCACCACCTTCTTCAACACATGACAAATTCAGTCAAAGCCCCAACACAATGTAGTATACCAATGTGATTGGCAGTGCTATCAACATTCCAAATATAACCCTGCCATAAAAACATGTGAACTATGCATTAGACCTTGTACATCCCAAATCACATACTAGTATAAGGGTAGTATTGTCATTTGTCAATCCACAAAAACATGACCATTTTCAATTCACATAAGTAACTTGTTCAATGCATCCACAACTTGTACATTTTCAAAGTAATGTATAGTTACTATTGCATAGTTGCTCTTGAGTATTCACATATGAATATTGTGAATGCATAATCTTGTGAATGTATTCACATATGAATATTGTGAATCATTAGCAGAATGTACAAGTCATTAAAGAACGACTCACCCTGTGCTAAGTATATCAGGATGCACATTGTATTCTTTGGCAAACACAAAAGGGACAATTCCTTGAGGGAGAGCTGCCTGTGAATTTTGATATCAACCACAAAATCCATTAGTCAAATTAAAAGTCGACATTTTGACTTTCGATGGTCAAATGAGTTTCTATAAACCGCATTGTTCTATACCTGGACGATGGCAACGTGTAACAGTGTTCCTTGTAGTCCAACCGCGATTGATGCAGCCGCCATGACCGCCGGTCCAGTCAAGAAGCGAACCGCCATGGCAAAGGTGGCAACCGAGTTTCCGCAAGCGATAATTTTCGGTTGCAATGCCATGAACAAACCTGCAAAATAACATAGGAAACAGAATACACGTTAAGACCAAGTCCTTTTTCGGATCAAATGTTTGAGACTAAACATGCGGGCATTTCCTAATGGATTTTGTTGCATTTTTCCTTGATATGAAAAGATTACATACCGAGACTAAACATGGCCATGCCGAGACCAGCATCAGAGAGGATCGCTATAGATTTCGCAACTATTGCGGGCATTTCCACATTCCATCTACAAGAAGAGACGACATGAATACTTTTAGGTTCAAAAAAGAAATTTCGAGCTTAAAAAAAATTAGTCGGGTGGTCATGTACTTGAAAGAGACCAAGGACCATGTGAGGCCAATGAGGCTGGAATAAGTGTTGGGATTTCTGATAAGTTTGCGCCACACCATGATCAAGATTAGTCGAGTCATGACACTAGCCGGCGGCATGGCTGTCGGCTTGATTTCACCATGCGGGCTAGCCTTCGGATGGAGCTCGGCAGTCGAGCTTGACCCGAGTTTCGACAGAACCGATGCTTCACGGTCCACACCATTCGGGCCCTGTTGGTTCCCAAAACTGAACTCATTTTGTCCGAAATCATCATAATCTGCATCCAAAATCACACAATATGATCAAGTAAAGAATTGGCAAAACAAGAAATAAGGTTCTACCAGCACTAAATCTTTTACCGGGAGGGTATTTTCGTCATTTCAACAGAAAAAGACAAAGATAAAGAAAAATAAAGGCGTATTCAGGGGTATGTTTTTAATTTTATATGCATTTGGGATAATAATGGCAAAGGGAATGGAATCAGTGAAGCACATGTGCAAAGGGATGGAACATGAGGGCATGTTTTCAGGGATTCTTTAATTTAAAAAAGGAATAAAACAATAATCAGAACAAATAACAAAGAATATGAGATTAATGAAACAAAAAGACCAAGATTTCAGCAGATAATTGGATAAAGATGGCAAGAAAAACAAGGGTAATCACGAAATTGCAAGAATGTTTTGACTTTTAAAGGTCAAACTGATTAATATCCAAAATCAAATTCGACATCCAGTTTCGACGAGCGAAGATTGAACAAGCTTTGACTGCGAAGATTTTATATAGTTGAATGCAATACGGAGCTTTATAGACAAGTATTTACATGATTGATGTCGTTTTTCGAAATTTAAAGATCATTGATTTGACTGTTGAAGTCAAACATGGACTTTCAGGGACCAAATTAATGAATATCATGTGAAAACAAAGGCAAAGAATTAAATGAAGCATAAGTCCAAAAGAAGAGGACATGCATGGCCAAGATTTGAGGGTTTTGTTCGTCAAAATTGACAACATAAACAACCAACTAACAAATACAAAATCTTGGAGTTAAGTGGAGCAAACCCAAGATCTTGGGGGATTCTTGAATTTAGTCATATAAAACAAGAGTCCCATAATACTGCTAACCCATTTGGTATTAATGATTTCTGGTCCTCTAATGGCGATAATAGTCCACCCCAAACCCTTCTAATAGGGAAAAAGATTAAAGACAAACCCAAAATTAGATCCCAAAAGTCTTTGATTATCCATTTGGGTTTCAAGATTTCTTGGGTTTAGAATCTTGAATATTCATGGGGTGTAACAAGACCCATCAAATGGAAAAGAACCCAGAAAAGTGGAGAAGCTTTATAGTAAAAATAAAGCTCGAAAATTGTCTAAAATGGCGGAATACGATACAAAAAGTCATTAAAAAGATGAAAAAAGATGTAACCTTTAGTGTGAGGTACCCCTCCAAGTTCATTAGCATACTCTCCACCTCTAAAGACATGAATCCCTCCTTCTGAAACAGGTGAAGCGCTAGAACTCCATACAAACATATGAAGATCTTTCCCACCACCACCACCACCGTCTGCACCACCGCCTTTCTTCTTTGCTCCGGGTCCCGACACCGGAGAGAATATTCCGGCATTAGTTGGTGCAGGATACACTCCACTTCCCTGCCCATTTGCCCTTGGATTGTTTCCAGTTTCTTCATCATACCCCATATTCCCAAAATTCGACCCTCGTGGCGAAACACTGCTGGCATTCGCATTCTTCCCGTTTACCATCGAGTAGAAATCAGTGTGGTTGAAGCTAGACCCTCTTGGAGTTGGGTTTCTTGATGATTGCAAAGAGTAGATCTCTGCATTTGTTAAGTTAGAAGGACGTGGTGTTAATGAAACGCCGGAATTCATTCCGCCGTGTGACCGCCGTGAGAAGATATCCGACCGAGAACTGGTTGATTTCCTGACGGTCACATGAAGCTTTCCATCATCTCCAACTTCAGCCTCTGTTTGCAACGGCTCTTTCCCATCCAAAGACAAGATATCAGAATCAACCCTGAACGAAATTATAGAACCAGCAGTATCTGGAAACTGTTCAGCAATCAAAAGCCTTGCACCTCTGTATTCAAACAAGAATAGCATTAAAGTGTACCAAATAATGCACTGAAGAACAACAATCTGGACCATTAAACTCCCAGAAAAATCTCCATACATTCCTTTCAAAAGGGGTATGCCCATAACAAGAGTGTTTGGAAGTGTAGAAAGAGAGAACAGGGTTATGGACCATTCGAGTGAGCCCCTGGCGCTAACTCTTGACCAAATGGCTAGAACCACAAGCACCATGAGCTTTTGAAGGGTGTCAGCGGCTATAAACCGTGTGTTCATGGTGTAAGGATTGTTTGTAGAGATGAAATGGAAAGAAAGCAAAGGAACTGCAAACAGAGCCACGAATCTGTTAATGCCTGAACATTGATCCGGGGTGAAGATCTTCCACCATTTTACTGAACCATAGGCTAAGATCATGGCTACATAGAGTGGAACCACGGCTGTGAGCACATGGTAAAGGTCCGAACCAGTGATCATTTTTGAAATCCAACAAAAAAACAACGCCCAAATGAAACAAGGATGTGAAACACAAAACCCCAGATGGGATTTCACAAATAAACCTGAAATGAGAAAGAACCCAGGTGGGATTAGTGGTAAAAACAGAGGTGCAAGATGAGATTTTGAGCAAAGATTTGTCGAAAATGGAAGGAAGGAAGAAAAGTGAAGGAAGGGGATGAGGGGGAAAGCAGAGATGTGATGTGTTATATTTATGGGAATTAATGGCAGACAGGGAAATAAAAGCTGATGTCTTTTGAGAGCTTTTTTTATAGTCTTTTGATGGTGAGAGAGAAATAGGGGGGATCTCAAGTTAGAAAGAAGGAAATAAAGCCAGTGGACAAATACCAAGCATAAAAAATTTTAAGGTTTGGCTTCATCTATCTTTTAAGATTTTGTCTTTTTTTACTTCTCTTTTATATTTACACTAATTATTTTAATTTATTTGGATGAACGAGGGGTCGTTTACTAAACGTTTATCCAAAAAGTGTTTAGCGGATAACTTTTTTTATCGAATGAACATGGTAATGGGTTAACAATCTTACCCGGTAAAAACAATGATAAAGATAGAATAGTCTTATTCGGTAAGTGAGGGTGACGACTTTTACCCAGGTAAGTGCTTACCGGATAAATTGTTGCATACGATACCATTTTGATATACTACAATTTTACCCGGTAAAATAAATTATAGTGTTGAGTTTACCCGGTAAGCATTTAGGTAAACGGCCCCTAAGGTTTTATCGATGTTTTTTTTGTTAATTGTCGATGTTTGAAACAGGTCATGTATGTATTTCGACTAATTCCAAAAGCTCTAAAAAATAGTCAAATAATCTTCAGTAACATTACAAGACTCAAATCGATGATTCTGATCAGAATCCCCAAAATTATGATAGTAGTCATGTTTGATAATTATATATATTTACTTTTTTTAGTCTATTAAATAATCTTTTATTTATCTATCAAACGTTAGCTTGTAAGGTAAATTTTATTTCATGTAATTTTTCAACATCTCTATTTAAGGGTAGTTTGGGTTTTTTCCATTAAATCTTGTATGATAAAACTAGTTGTATTAAATAAAACTGTTGTTTGTTTATTGTGCTAAATAAATTGTCTAAATGATGAAAACGACAATCTCGAAGTAGTGGTTTGAAAATGCTAAGCAATTTTACGCGGGTTTTGTCAACTCTTGACCAACAATCTCGAAGTAGTGGTTTGAAAGGATAAGACCTATGAATGGTCTTTCATCAACAGTGGCATCAGTTGTTCTGGATACAAGCAACCTTCGATTTATTGTCATCTATTGATCTCCAACCACCATTGAAGAACAATTGATAGAAGAACACCTAAACAAAATTTATTGAAGAAATGTTGGGTTACGAGATCTCAAGCACAACAGAAAATAAAACCTTAACCCTTCAAGGACCCCTACGAACCGGAATAAATCGGGTATTTCAAAATTATACCTCATGGTTAGAGAGACTTTGAATCATAGCAACAAACAAGACTTAGTGCCTCCACGGTATCCACACAAACAATATGAATTTTTCCCTTCTCGTGATGCTAATCACGGTTTCGGAACTTAAAAAGAAAAGAAGCATACGTTGTAAATGATTTTCTAGAGAGAATTGCAAGAACAACTTGCTTGCACAACATGTCATACATATTATATGGTTATGGAAGCATTGTCTAAGACTGTCACCATCTGTACACCTTACTTGGTGTAAAAGTGGTCATACACCTCACTCTTCTTTTAGAACCATCGGTAGTCAAACGATTTATGTCCAACATAAATAATATTCGATTTTTATTTAATTAGATTAAATTAATAAAAACTAGATATAATAATTAAACATTTTAATTATTGAAACTTATTATTCAGATATATTCAAAGCGTGTGACCCAACGAGTTCTCGACATATTGGTAATAAATATAAATCTAGTGTTTATATTTATAGACGATGAGCAATATCTAGCAATATATCATCGTCACCCAAATGACGAGAATCGCTGATACAACAAATTACCGGTTTGTATCCAATTTTAGTTTACACGTTTAATTTTTTTGTTCTTAATGTCCAAATTTAACACGAGACATTGAATGTGTCATTCTCGTTATATCAAATCTTAGTTACTTGATTTACTAATATACTAATAATATAGATCATGATATCTTATATCAATTATCTAAGCATGCATGTATTTCCTCGGTATATTTATCAAGGGGCCCAGAAACATCAATCTCGTCATAAATGAGAGAGATATCATGTCTCAATACATGTTAATCTACCATGTGATATCTAAAATATCCAACAATCATTTTGTCACTCAGTTAAAGAATGATTAAAATAAATGTCAAAATGCGTCATTCACACAACAACAAACTCCATGTTCTCAAGTCAAAAAATTACATGTACATTAACCACATGAGAAACACTTATAACACTCACATGACACCTAGTGCAGTGTTTTCATAGCGAGTCATGTCCGGTATACAAAATCTCCATCTTGTACCCATATACAGATTCAATATCTCCATATGAATATCTACATATGTTAGTCATTATCATATTACTTCAACCTTAAACTAGAAATAATATTTAACTAGGGACATTTAGAATACATTATTCGCAATGACTTTTATTTAATTATTAATTTCATGAAACAAAACTCAAAAATTACAATCATCATATGATTGGTTTTCACTAACAAGAACACCATTCAAGAACAATCAATTGAAGAAGAGCACCAAAACCTAATATTGCATCGAACCCAAACAATTGATTGAAGAACACTAAACCAAATAATAGTCTATTTAAGAACATCAAACCGAACAAGAATTCATAAACGTAACAAGACTGAATCTCAACAAAAAGAAATACCAAAACTTATATTTCATTAAAGAGCACCATCATCTTTGTCTTTGGGAACATATCAGAACAAATGGAGAAAATGAGATAAACCAGAGCTTGAAACAGTCGTAAAAATCGTACCCTTGATCAACACATCTTCAAAAGAAAAACTCAAGAATTTTTGTGAACGAGAAACGTGATTTAAGAAGAAATCTTTAAATGTAGTTTGACATAAACGTGATCTCGAAAACATATCAGAAGAATTCATCAAACTTGTTGTTTTCTCTAATCTTGAATCGGTACCACGCCCATCCTTTTTTGATTTTTCACGAAGAAAACCTATCCCTTTCGATTTACCTCTTAAACCCAGGACAAGGACTGCAAGAAAGAGGATGGAGCGACTGTCGACAATTAGGAACATGGAGGAGGAGGCAAGGCAACAACGTTGAGGGACAGGTTAGGTTTATCGATTGAGAGGGATCAGGTATTCTAATAAACAATGATTTTCAAAGAGGTAGGGGGTGGGAATTATATAATATTTAATTTAATCAAGTAATAAATCAATTGTTAAATCAATATAAAAAGGTAAATCTTGTAAACTAATATGTAGTAATATAGATCATGATTTTATTTATAAAAAAAAAATTGTGTTTGCTTCTAAAATTATAAATATAAAGTAATTTCATTATTCATTAACATAATATAATATAATTTTTAATCACAAGGGTGGTGTCTGATTGATTTAAGCTTAACTCCAAAGATCAAAATACCTGGAGGTTTCAGGTTCAAATCCAAAGAGGAATAAAAACCCCCTTATGGCCACGGAGGTTCAAATGCGGTGACTCCGGGCTATCTACAAAACAGATGATCGTCCTAGGATCAGTCGGCTTGCATAACGGGTTGGATATCCACGTTAATAATAATAATAATAATAATAATAATAATAATAATAATAATAATAATAATAATAATAATAATAATAATAATAATAATAATAATAATAATAATATAGTTTCTTTGGGTCAAATTAGAAGTATAAAATGGCCCATGCCCATTAGGCAAAAAGGAGCAAACATGAAAGCACTCAAAGAAAGGTGCTTGAGTTGTACAAAATAACATACTCCTTGTAAAATATATTCTTTTGAATAAATTATTTTTCTAAAATATTATATTTTAAATATTTTAATTAAGCACAATGTTTTTATAAAGTTAAAATTAAATATAATCATTACAAGTATTTGTATTTTACAAGTGATAAGGCTTTATCTTGCTATCATAGTTACTTTAAATATAAAATGGGGTACCATTCGATTGTTTGTCGATTGAATTTGTCTAAAGAGTATTTAAATATTACTTGCTAAATTATAGAAAATGATTAAATAAACAGAGAAATCACTTGTATTCTTCAACCCGTCAAACTGCATAAAAACTCATATAACAGTATATACTTTAGAATCGTTTTCAGTTCATGATACATGTTAAATCTCGTGTATCTGTGCTAGAATTGATACGATTATGTGAATCTGGGATTTAGTATATATGTATGCTAACGGTTTTTTAATTAGTTTAGTATGTTACCGTTATGTGTAAAGTAGTCATTGCTATGCATGAAAGTGGAGGTATGTATGCTTAAGACATTGATATTGAGATGCATGATCAGTAGCAGTAGTTTGGGACTAGCTCAAGATTCGGTATAGATTAACATGCATCCAAGAGCCTTTGTATGAAGCCAAGCAAGTAGGACGAGTATAACCTTGAGACCTCATTACAAATACAAGTAAACAGCTTAGTAGGTTTTCCCCATCGTACAAAGAAGTGATAGAGGTGGTGTCCAGTGTATGCATTAGTTATACATCAATATTTCAGCAATGTTTAAGGTATTAATTTTTTTAATTAACCTGGATATCCAACCCGCTATGCGAGCCGACTAATACAAGGGAGACCACCTACTTTGCAGATAGCCCGGAGTCACCGCATTTGAACCTCCGTGGCCACAAGGGGATTTTTATTCCTACTTGGATTTGAACATGAGACCTCCTGGTACTTTTGACCTTTTGAGCCAAGCTCAAATCAATCAGACACTACCCTTGTGGTTAAGGTATATATTATTTATGTAAAAGAAGTTGAAATTTT